AAAAAAAAAGGATATATTTTCTATATTTTTTCCCTCAAGTACAGTCTAAGTATTTTGATTTTACATTCTATGTAGACTTTTTGGAGAGGTAGAGGTTTCAGTTAAAGTAAAATGTTTTTTGAATATTCAGATCTCACCTTTCATCTAAAATCTTTGGCAAACTGTGAAACCATCCTAAGTTCAGAAGGTGCCAGCTAACTCTGAAAGCAGGAACGGTGTGGGCGTCCAGCCTTCCAGGCTCTCTCTCTCCATTTCTATTAATTCTCCTTTTATAAATTTGGTGAACTGCTTCTTGGGTAAGTGCCTGTGAAAATGGATCTGCCTCCAAGCAGTGCTTCAGATGTGGATAATGATTATGATACGCTCTGGGATCCATTTATGAAATCTACCATTTAAGTGAAAACAATTGCACAGCAACCTAAAGAGACGAGTGGTCTATGCCTTCTTAGCAATTCCTGTGACTCTCATACTGATTCTATCCATTAGGGCCCATTTCATAAGCCTAATGTACAGTAATTCAGCTTTACCCCCTCCAATCTTTACTGCAAGTTGAGGATCAAGTGGTATTTAAAGCATGATGTATTACCACATCTGTCTAGTGCTGAATCAGGCAATAATACTTGAAAATTCCATCACTACTGGTTGTTAATGAGGCAAAACTTGGGAAAGAGGGTTGTTAACTGTGAAGCAAACAATTTCTTAGGGATCATTGTTATTGCTGTAGTCAACAGTTTATATAAAACAGCAAGATTTTTTTTCATAAAAAAGATACAGTCTGTGGCCCTTGTGGGTCTGTCTCAAAAATTGAATTTTAAGTGTTAGTCACTCCTTGGTAGTTAATAATCAGTCCGTTACCAATCTCTGTGCAAAGCCTCCCCGTGTGTGTTTATGGTGTTGGTCTGGTGCATGTAGCTGGGCTTCCCTCTCATTCTCTGTTCTCTCAAATGGCAGGATGTCAAGGTGTACGGCAAAGGGAACCCTACGAAAGTGGTGGCTGTAGACTGTGGGATAAAAAACAACGTAATCCGCCTCCTGGTAAAGGTAAGCGCTTTGAGGGTTCGTAACATTGACTGTTAGTCTTCAGCCAATTTCCTCTGTCACAGAGATAGCTTGTGCCTTCTCTCAGACTGTCAGGGGGTCACACTCTCCTTGTTTCTTTTTATCTACAAAACAGCACACTTATCCCTGTTCAAATTAGAGATATAGACTGCTATGTTTAAATAAAACCCTCAAGGGCCACTTGAACACGAATGAAGATGACAACTCTTCTCATCACATACTGAGTAACACTCTGAGCTTTGCCACATTCACTTTCTTTGGAGTTTAGGGATGACCAAAAAGCTAGAGTCAGTCTGATAGATTCTATATGTGTTATGTACCACACGTTTACAGGAGTCATGCCCCGGTGTAGGACAAAATTTCACAGTGCTTTATGTCAACTCTTAGGCAATCAATGAAAATTAAACCTTAAAAAGCCTTAAGGAGAATTTAAACATTTAAATTTAACAATGTCTTCTTGAATATTATTTTGTTAGGATCTCTCCTTTCCCAGTCTCTCTCTGTCTTTCCTTCTTTCTCTCTCTCTCACACACATGCATTTGCATAACACCAAATTAGCTTGTGTAGGGGGATTCTTTATTTAATCTCTTTGTCCAAAACTATTAGCAATACTGAAATCACTATATCGAATTCTTGTCTATTTTAATATTTTTTCTTGCCTATTTTATTAACAAAAGTTTGCTGTGGGCGGCCTGTTTTACCACTGCAATTCAGGCTGCCCACCTTCCAATTGCGAGCATAAGGTCTCTTTGCATAAAGTCTTTCTTTGGTTGGTAAGAACCTCCTGGTAGACAGTAAATGCCATAGAATTAATGATCACTGGAGTAACCTCAAATCAAAGACCAGAAAGAGTAAGTGTAAATATCTTAGCTCCGTTGCCCACAGAGATATTACCTCTAAGGTAAATATTCCACATGGGCCATCAGAGTTCGTCAGAGGGCTTAAGTTCCACTTTTCCACAGTGCTACCATATAGAATACCATAAAGAATACTTTGTTGGGGTCGCTCATGATATTCCATTAATATTTCTTGGAAATACCTTCCAAATAAGCTTTTTTACTCTCAAGTCTTTGTTTCAGGAAGTGCTTCTAGGGAAACTCTCAAAGATAAACTTCATATATACTTTTATATAGAAAAGTTCTCATATGGTATTATAGGTAACACGAGAAAACCCAAGAAAGGAGCCTGATAAATTTTATTAGCCAAGAAAAGGCAAAACTGATAACGTGGAAAAGTGGACTAATATCAATTATGTAGAAGATGAATTTGTCTTTTTTTTTTTTGCAACTCTCTGTCCCATAGCTAGTGAAGTTAAGTACAAGGCCAGTGATGGACCTTGAAACTTGTCCTGAAGTACAGGAGAGAATATTATCTAGGTTTTTTTTTTTTTGCAGTTTTTGTCTGGGGCCAGGTTTGAACCTGCCACCTCTGGTATATGGGGCTAGCGCCCTACTCCTTTGAGCCACAGGCGCTACCCTATTATTTAGTTTTTCTTCATCAAAATGTGAATAGTGTTTTTCTTCTTCACTTTCTATTGACCACTTGCTTCATTTACATCCCATAAATTACAATGAGTTACCTGAACAATGTTTGCTCAGCATTCTTTATTTATTTGAATTATACGTTATAGTTTTCTTTCCTTTAAGGTTGGTTGGTTAGTCAAGAGAAAGCCCAGTAAAATTACACTTTGGCAAAGGCAAATGTGATTAATTTGTCCTTCTTGTATTTCTTTTCCAGAGAGGAGCTGAAGTGCATTTAGTCCCCTGGAATCACGATTTCACCAAGATGGAGTATGATGGGCTTGTGATCGCTGGAGGACCCGGGAATCCAGCTCTTGCACAGCCACTAATTCAGAATGTCAAAAAGGTGCGATGAACCTGTGTATCTGTGTGAGAGGTGGGAGGAATTCTGCTCTGAAATCTGAAAGGACTATAAAACATTCCCTTTGTTCGGGTATTTGTCATTACTTATATTTGGGACCTTTGAGGAAACATGAATACATGTGTTCTATACGGAGACCAAGGAGGAGAGAACACCAGGGGCCACAGAGATTTTCTTTAGGCAAACCTTGGGCTTGCATCCTTGAGTTAATAGACTAAGTCCAATGTCCAACTGGATCTTTCCTTACGATTGTGAAATAACAACTTGTGTTTCTCATCATGACTTTGGGGCCTGTAGACTTTTAAATCTTTAAGGAAATATTACATTAGATTTCGTATTTAGTCTGAATGTTACATCTTATTGAATTCTAATGTTACAAATTTGTCAATTATGTTCTTATTTATATTTTGTTTTAATTCATTTAATTTTAATGCTCTTCTTTTTACCTTGTTAATTAAGAGAAAAAGAAAGACTCATCATTTTTACCCTTTCAGAGGCAACATTTCCTGGAAGTGTACTATTTGTTTATAAAATTTTCTCCTTGGTTTAGATTTTGGAGAGTGATCGCAAGGAGCCATTGTTTGGAATCAGTACAGGAAATTTAGTAACAGGATTAGCTGCTGGTGCCAAATCCTACAAGATGCCCATGGCCAACAGGTGAGGCAGTTATGCTTTTGTTTACAGTAATTTAGTAACTCAACACAGTAGACTTAGAGAATTTACCTGCCATTTCTTCAGAATGAACGGATAACCACTCTCTTAAGTGGTTCACGGTTGTTCTACTACCGGATACCACCTTTATTGTATTTTTGACAGGCAGCCTTCTCTAACAGTAACTTTGCTGTAGTTTAAAGTTATTTTCCTTTCCTTAGCTTGAACTGAGGTTATAATACTCAATCAAATGGTATTCCAAGGCAAACTGTTCTGATTTTAAGCTTGATTTCAGATCATTGAAACATTTAAAAAAGCTCGTGTGACTTAAGAACTGAGAAATCTTCAGATCCTCTTATTTTCACTTTTTTTTTTAATCTCAAACGATGTGAATTTATTTACTAATCATGCTTTGTTCCATGGCCCACCTTCTACATAAAGTATATTTCGGAATGATTCGGGTCTGAGCAGTCATCTCTTTACTATATCTCAATAAGTTTTCTCTGACTTTAAAATTACTTTAAAATTATTTTAGGTCCCACTAAAGTAAGTTGCTTATATTTGTCTGTTTCTGTTAAGCTAGTGAGCAACTCTTTTTGTTAGAAGCGCCATGCCTCCTTTGCTAAAACTGACTAGAGACATTTCATAGACCTGATATTTAATATACAACAGAGCTTCTTGAATTGATTTTTGTTGCTAAAATTATTGGGATTAACAATCTGTGACTTTTCTTACAGAGTGATTTTCACTAAGCAATTTAAACTTTTCAATTTTGATAGGCATTTCTTGTTCACTACTTTACAAACTAATGCATCTATGTTCTTCTCTTCACTTTTCCTTTACCCTATTCTTCTCCTTTTTCTCTCCAGAGGCCAGAACCAGCCTGTTTTGAATATCACAAATAGACAGGCCTTCATTACTTCTCAGAATCATGGCTATGCTCTGGACAGTGCCCTCCCTGCTGGCTGGAAACCACTTTTCATGAATGTCAATGATCAAACCAATGAGGTAAGTGTTGTCAACAAACTAGTTCAGTTGGTGATAAGAGGTGCAGGACATTTTGCTAAATTGATACTTAATAATTGTCCATACTTGTGGGGTGCATATGATATTTTGATGCATGCATGAAATATATAATGATCAGATCAGGGTATTTAAGATATCCATCATCTCAAACATTTATCATTTCTTTGTATTAGGAACGTTTCAAATCTTCTTTCCTAGCCATTTTTGAAACATACAATAAATTATTGTCAATTATAGTCATCCAGGGCTTTTAATACACTGTGATACAAATTACTTTTCTCTTGTTTATGTGGGACAATTTTGGGAGGGAACGTTCAGGAATGATTACACATTATGTCCCATAGACCTCTGCTTTTAAAAAGTCATTTCTCTCTGTCTTCATTTCTCATCAGTTAAGCCTTTAAGATCCACTCGTTGAGTCTTTAATCAACAATTCTGTTAAATATTCGCTGTCAGTGGGCCAGTGGTCCAAATTTGTTTTGCCCAATCTAGGTAGAACTCTGGGACTTGCTTGGGACTAGAGTAATCCTTAGAAAGACCCTTGGATTAGTAATTTAAAAGTTGAAGATAATATGAGGATTTGAGTTCATACTGACCAGAGCCCAGAGGGTCCCAAAGGTTATAGACCAAATCTGTTGTTATTTAAGGAAACCATATTTGGTTGAGTTTCATTGGCCCATTTTCTTTTCTTACCAACATAGTTAGCTATGTACATCCTTAAGCTCTCCAATCATGTGAATGGTACTATTATTCTAGTTTTAGAAATTTTATTAAGGATTTAACTCAGTTTTTTCTTTGAATTTTATTGTCCACTGAATTATACATAGCCACACTTGATATTCATTGTTACAGAAGGAATTTCTTCCTGTTTCTTATTCCTTTAGGGGATTATGCATGAGAGCAAACCCTTCTTTGCTGTGCAGTTCCACCCAGAGGTCAGCCCAGGGCCGACGGACACTGAGGTACGTCAGAAAGAAGAGGCCTTTTATAGACATAAGAATAATTAGAAATGTGTTTATGTGAAAATTCAAGAAACCAAAATAATCACCCCAGATGATCTTGGTATATACAATATTCTCAAGAAAAGTGCTTTGGTAATACATATTTTGTATTAAAATTTCCCCATAAATATCACAGAGGAAATTTTTTTAATCTTTTTTTAAAATTTAAAGTGGGAAAGCTCTTAGGAAACCAGAAGTGATGCTATTTTTATTTAAACCCATTATCATTCTAATATATTTAGTTCTGAAATTTACAATTGTTGTAATATGCAAATGAATTCCCTCTTGCTCCCTCTCCTTCTCATAACTGAAATGAAATTTTAATCCCCCATCTGTGACTTCACAGAAATCCCTATGGCAACTGATTGTGTAGCCACTAAGGGAAAATAAACAGCAGCAGGAGAAAGAGGGGTAGGGGTGTGGGGAGGAGAGAGGGCATGCGTGCACACGCCTCGGATTCAGATGGCTTAAGGAAAGAGCCATAAGAAATGCTTAGAGGAGTTTTGGGTTTAATCTAAGCATTTTTACTTTTTTTGTGTGAGTTCTCCATTCAATGTTCAAGCACAAGAGCTCCTGGTGGCACCCAGAAAGCCACCAGTGAGTCTGGTGTGATTCCTCCCCTTGCACACGAGGGGTCCCTGGTAGTAAATCTACCTTGTTGGAAGATATTTTCAGGAAGGAAATTTTGGTAAAATGAGGAGGAGAATGAGAGCTTTCCTTCTGTATGCTTTGCTCTCTCATCCCTGAATTGCATTTTTAGGTATTCGCATTTCGTTCCTGTTTTAACAGTATTAGGAGATAGTGGTTTTTAATAGCCAAAGTCAGTATAACCTTGAAACTCACGCTGAAACTCACAAATAAAATTTAGTTATGTGTACCATCATATACATGCTAAGTACTTTTTAAATTTAAATCGGCATATATTAGTACTTCAGATTAGGAACACTGTAATAAGATATGTGGTAACATTCACTTGTCATGTAATTCAATGTTTTTTTCCTCCTGCCAAATATTTGCAGAATGAATATCCTTTGTTGAAATTTGTCCTGTCTAGTGAAGTGACAGAGAGTAAATTCTTTGTAAAATTTAAGAATAATCTTTAGAGATTTCTTTAGAGCTAGTAGAAATGCAGTATTTATAATTCTAGGATGCATAAGTGGTACAACTTGTATTTTTTTTTGTCCAATTAGATTTGCTTTACTGGAAGAAAATGATACACAATTAAGGAGCTGAAAACTGGACATTCTTAGAAGGCGTCTGAAATTTTTATTGTTAAAAACTTTTTAATAGGACTTCAAGTGAATAGTTAGAAGTGTTTATTTGATCTGGTTCTCATAGTAGTAAATATTTAGTTATTGGCAAAAAAGCAAAAACTTTCCATCAAAAAACCTATATTAAAATATTTGTTGCTTATCTGAAGTTCAAATTTAACTGGGCCTCCTGTATTTTATCTGCATCCTTATGAGTTTTGAAGCTTCTGACTAGTTGGTCATCTTTTTTTCTAGTACCTGTTTGATTCCTTTTTCTCGCTGATAAAGAAGGGAAAAGGTACCACCATTACATCGGTTCTACCAAAGCCAGCCCTCGTTGCATCTCGAGTTGAGGTCAGTACATATGGGCTTGTTTTTGGTTTAATGAATTTTGGATTTTCTCTATCACGTGATGAATTTTTATAAAGTAAAAGAAATTGTAAATGTATGTAAGATGACTAGTAACATTGTAATCCACTGTTACTTTGCAACTAATAATTTATATATATATATTTTCTTGATGATGTTCATTGGAATTTTGATATTTTGATTTAAAATAATATCTTTTAATGTTTACTTCTTCTGGAATGTTTACAATAACATAACTTAATACAGAATAGAGTTTAGTTGACATCTTGGTATTTCCCATTTCCCCCAAACTCATAGCCCTACATAAGCTTGATATATAGTTCAGACTACAAAATCTTTATAAGTGATAGAATACTTTTTGATTCAATTTGAGTAAGTATTAATCAGCATCATGAATGGAACAATATTATTTAACCTCCAGAAAGCAAATGGATAAATATTAATATAGCATATGATTTCAATCTTTATTCATTTGTGTATGTTAATGTGATGAGGTTTCTACCCATTTCTTTTATGGTTAAATTACACACACAAATCCCATTATTATATAGAATTTAGAGGATATATATATGTATTTAAAAATATACATGCAAATATACATAGATGCATATTTTACACATATATAAGAATATGTAGATTTTTTAGTTATTTATATAGGTTTAAATAAAATATAAACATTTTACAACATTTTTTAAAAGTTTAAAAAACTTCATAAACTGTGGAAATTGCACTGAAATTAGAGATGTTTAAATTGTCACTCTTCTCCCTTATATGTTATGTATTTTTCAAAACATTGTATCTTAAATCACCAAACTCAGACAATGTAGTTTCTTCTCCACTCTTGAAAATACCTTCTGTTCACCACTTTAGTAACAAAAGCAATGTCTTTTTTCCTATTGATTACAGGTTTCTAAAGTCCTTATTCTCGGATCAGGAGGTCTGTCCATTGGTCAGGCAGGTGAATTTGATTACTCCGGATCTCAAGCTGTAAAAGCCATGAAGGTGAGAGAATATGATCTTTGCTAAAATTAATATACTTCCTTTAATGAGTCTAATTAGTATTTTATAATTTAGATTTATGACACTACCTCTCTTCAAAGTCACTGTAATTATTCCCTTTAACTATTCCTTACACATATTAAAGAAAGCTCGATCACGAACATGGTTTTCAGCTTTCTCAAATACTCACGCTTGCTTATTAGGGAGGTTAGATGGGTCTCCAAAATTATTTAAGTTATTGCCTACTAATACTGAAAACATATAAACATTAATTGATGCTGCTTACTGCTTTTGAGGCAGTGAGTTTTCAAATATCTTGTCTTTTATGTGGAAGATGGAGTCGTGGGTGCTTTAGAGTACCTTAATGCACTACGGGTAGCTTTGGGCATCTCTGCGGTTGAAATGGAAAGCTCCAGGTGGGGGAGTAAGGGCAACAATGGATTTCATTCAAGCTTTAGAAGTTATTAACTTTCCCCGGGGGACCCAATTCCCTGTCAGCAACTTGGAACACAATATGGTTTGGCTGAATTTTCAAGTGAAAAAGAAAATTTGACAACCAAATTGGGAAGGGCATCCTTCCTGTTCCCTCAAACCCTCTCAAGATCTTTCAACCCTTATTTCAGTAAAATAAACCTTTAGAAAAATTCCATTGTATGTAAGGAATTTCTCTTGAAGAGCTCACTCAGCCTCTCTGTCTTTGGTGTCTTTATTTCCCTGTACGGTGCCACCCTGGTGCCAATCAGAGGCAATGAGAACTCTTGGCAATCTGGCCTCAGGCTTTGCAGTGTGACTAGAGACCTAGGGAGGAGAGTGCAATGCAGGAAGGCAGCTGGAGATTGGGATGGCAAATGTGGAGAAGTTGACCAAAAGTTTTCTTTTTTTTTCTTATTTTCATTTTTCTATATTCAAAGATTTTCACCTGACGGATGTCTATTAAAAAGAGGTGGAACACAGTCCCAATGACCTTACTCTTCTTCCCATTCATTTTTATTTTTTAATAATCTCCTCCATGCATGCCCGGGTGAATGTATTTACAAAATGATGCTTTGCCTTTCACAATTGTATTATGATTCAACTTCTCATCAACAGATAATTGGAAGATGTATAGTGGCTTATCGTATTTAGAACATAATCTAACTGTGTTCAGGGTTTAGAATGCATTTAACTAGTATACAATTTTTACTCTATTTGGGAGTTTCCATCCATTGGGTAAAGTTATACATTTTTGACCTAAAGAATAGGAATTATTAGATCATATTTTAAAAGAAGTTAATGGAGACAAATATGTAGACTAAAAATATAAAATTGATACATGTATTATAAAAAAGAGAAAAATGATGCAAAATTGATTAGAATGGTTTGAAATTATTTATGATTTTAAGTAAAGGGACACTTATTACAGGCACGTATCAGATCCTTTCCTGTATACTCTAACATATAAAAAAATTATTGTTCATTGCATAACGTTCAGAAAGTACTTAAATATATTTAAGTTTGTTGGTACTTTAGAAGTAATACTTTCTATAACTTCTGCTGATGATGTTCTCTTAGTTTGGACTCAATTATTTAAATTCCAACCCACATTCTAAATGCATTTACTTATCTATATGTATCTTTCTAACATTTCATTAATATAAGACTCTTAAAATCTTGAGCAATGACTCATATTGGGGAAAGGGTCTGGGACTTGAGTCATAACACCTCGATTGGAGTCCTAATATTGCCACTTATCAGCTATATGACCTTTAGCAAGCATTTAACCTTACTGAATCTCAATTTCTTTGTCTAAAAGGTGGAAATTTCTTTCCTGGTCTTGGCATTAAAATCAAATAAATTGATAAAAAGATACATTACAAACATTAAAGCTCTATTTTAATTTAAGGTAACATGAAAAAGATTTAATTTTTTTTTCAGATCCTCCCCTCAAGGATGTATAGGCTTTCAAGGATAATTTCTAGACTTTCATCTGAATATGTTGTTGATTTTTTAGAAGAACTTAAAATTGACATGCTAATCTATCAAATAATAAAAGCCATCTGGCCATATTTTATAAAAGTATTTTGCTAAATGTCACCCTTACTCTGGTTTATAGGACAGTTATTCTTAGTAACCTGGTAACCTATATGAAGAATTGTTTTTTAGATCTCTCCAGATAGAAGGTATGAGATAGGGCTCTGAATACAATTATATTATTCATACATAACATTCATGGGTGCATGCATATATTTAAAATTTTTTTGCCATATAGGTTTTTACAAATATAATTGTAGAAACAGCTGTATAATGTTCTTTATTAAAACCAGTATGGCAGGCATGAAAACAGGAAATCAAAAGAAGGTTCTTGGTGCAACCAGCCCAAAAGGACCACATGAGCCTGCATTTTAAATGTACACTCAATATTGTTCTCTGATAAATGATAAAAGTAGAAGCAGCTTTCATGTTGCCTCTTGCTTCAGTTATATTTACTCATTTAAAAAATTTTGGAGTATTTCCCTCTTTTAATGCTGATCAGTAGCACGGGTGGACTTCTAAGCAAATTCTATAGGATTGGTTCATCTTAACTTGACATCTCCAGTGGCAAGAAATTCATGGTGGACCTTAGGAGGCAGCCAGTTCTTTTTGTATAGTTTTGTTTCCAAGAATTTCTTCCTTCCTTTGACAAATGCTGGCTCTTAACGTTCATTCTCTATTACTATTAATGATCTCTATGGCTCATAGAATAATCTAAAAGCTTCAGTAACCTTCACTGGAGAGCGGCCATTCTTGTCTTTCGACCATGCATTCAGATACTGGATCCTTTTGTTTCTTTCAGGAAGAAAATGTGAAAACTGTCCTGATGAACCCAAACATTGCCTCAGTCCAGACCAATGAGGTGGGCTTAAAGCAGGCAGACACTGTCTACTTTCTTCCCATCACCCCCCAGTTCGTCACAGAGGTTATCAAGGCAGAACGGCCAGATGGGTTAATTCTAGGCATGGGGGGCCAGACAGCTCTGAACTGCGGTGAGTTCTAAGTTTAGTTGTAGAGTTTTGATCCCTGCATCTGTGTAAGATATTTTATTTGAACCCATCTAAAAATTGTGCCCTGTGTGTTCATAAAACCTTTCCTTCAAAGTGTGAAGAAGCAGGTAACAGATAGCCACCTAAAAAATGTCAGATGATGAATATTGCTAGTTTATTTGACAAACAGCAGAGAGATAAAGAAACCTTTTGATTTAATGCTCCAGAGCAAATAGGTTTCTTGGGTTTCCCTCCTCTTCCCTGGGATATTGCTTTCTCTGTTTCCATGGAAGTCCTAAAAACTATTATAAATGAAAAAATGGAAATTAGCACTGATTGCAAAAAAAAAAAAAGAGCAAACTTTGATTACGTGCTCTTATAGATCAGCCCTATAGCATTTTTAACCTTTTACACATATTTTCATGATAACAGAGATCATTTTCTCTACCATTCCTTCAAGCATTTACGAAGTCTACTTCTCTGTTCTCTTTTAATGCTTCAAATATTTGGATTTAGATATGAATGCAGATCTCTTTATCTAGTTTTACATAATTTGTATTTCAAATATAAAAGACTCAGCCAAAGTTTTGATGGCAACACAATGAAAACACAAACAATTTTGATTATTATTTTTAAACCCAGATAGATGCCCATATCTTTGAGATTACTTAAAGAATAGAATTTCATTCTAGGCATGGATTTTAGAAGGAAAAGAAATGTACTAACACTTCAAGGCTCAAAGTAATACTATAATTTTTATGAATAAGAATAGTAAACATGATTTGCGGAGGTGATGATATAAGGGATAGTAGCATCAGTAGCATTTTGTTAGATTGTCTCTAGAATTTTAATTTTAATTTTTTTCCTTAAGTGCAATTCTATTGTGGACTATGGTGGCTTCCTGGATTTAATTTTAAGTTTAAAAAATAATTGTATTCAGATACTGTAAAAGAAGATGCAAAATTTGAGGTTTTAAAAACTAGTTATATTTGGTTCTGCTGTAGGAGTGGAACTGTTCAAGAGAGGTGTGCTCAAGGAGTATGGGGTGAAAGTCCTGGGAACTTCAGTTGAATCCATTATGGCCACAGAAGATAGGCAGCTGTTCTCAGACAAACTAAATGAGATTAATGAAAAGATTGCTCCAAGTTTTGCAGTGGAAACGGTAAGAATCCTTTGATCTGGAGAAACCAGGGCATTATTTGTCTTGGGTTATGGGGAGAATGATTTGTCATGGCTAATAATAATTCTTAAATTGTTATAATTGCATACATTTTATTCCAGAAATGTGTTAGAGACATTTCACATTATTTCAGAGACATTGTAAATGAATTGTCACATTCAATACTGAAAAGCTAATGAGAGGTATCAATTTTTTTCTTACAAAAGCGAAACATAAGCGGTTGAAATGGTTTATCCATGGTTTAAGTACCAGTGGTCTTCAGATCTTTTGAATGGAAACCAGAAAGAACTGTACTCATTCTTATATTCTTCCTGGAATCACCCACACTTTTGTGTTTGTGAATGCCCCACAAGTAAGATTGGATTTAAAACAATTTTGAAATGGAATAAACATTTTAGAATAAAAGGTTCCAGTCAGTAACATTCATGAGTGTGAAACCTGTGGCTTAGACATTTAACGTGAACAGATAGCTTTGCTTTTTGTTATTTACTTTCAACCATATCAACCAAATGCCTGTCAATAGGCTATTTCTAATCACTAGGAAAAGTCAGCTTGCTGTACATCTGCTATTGCCCCTGACTTTTATTCATTTTTTAATTTTAAATTTTTATGGGTATAGGATAATTTCTATTTATGGGATGTAGGTGATGTTTAGATACAGGAATACGATATAGATTCAATCACATCAGGGTATTTGAGTTATCCATCACTTCAGGTCTCTATCATTTTTTTCTGTTAGGAACATTTGAGTTATACTCTTTTTAGTTCTTTTAAATATACCCCACCTTACTGTTGATTATAATCACTTTGTTGTGCTATCAGATATTGTTTATTCTATCTAACTATATTTTTGAGTATTCTCTCTTTTTTTCTTAGCCAAAAGTCTTGTCAATTTTATCTTTTCAAAAAACCAGTTTTTCACTTCATTGATTTTTTTGTTTCAATCTCCTTTATTTCTGCTCTGATCTTTATTATTTATTTTCTTTTAGTAATTTTAGGTTTTGTCTTGCTCTTTTATTCCTCGTTCTCTGAGATACATTATTAGGTTGTTTATTTGAAATTTTTCTATTTTTTTGATGTAGGCACTTATTACTATAAGCTTTCCTCTTACTGCTTTTGTTTTATACAATAGGTTTTGACATGTGTCTTCACTTTTATTTGTTTGGAGAAAATTTTTAATATTTTTCTTGGTCCCTTCATTGACCCCATTGTCATTCAGGAGCAGAGGTACTGTGTGTGTATATTTTTCAATGTTCTTTTTGTTACTGAACTCTAGTTTTTTTTTTTTTTTTGAACTCTATTTTTATTCCACTGTAGTCAGAGAAAATACTTGATTTGATTTCAATTTAAAAAAATGTTAAGACTTGTTTGTGGCCTAACAATTTATCCTTGAGAATGATCCATGAGCTGAGGAGAAGTGCATTCTGATGTGCATTCTTTAGCTGTTGGATGAAATGTTCTGTAAAGAGCTAATAGGTCCATTTGGTTGGTAGTGTGGATTAAGTCTGATGTTTCTTTCTTGATTTTCTGTCTGGACGATCTGTCTAATACTGAGAGTGGAATGTTGAGGTCTCCAATGACTACTCTATTGGGGTATATTTCTTTTTTTTAGCTCTGATAATATTTGCTTTTACCTGGGTGCCCTCGTGTCAGGTGTATACATATTGAGAATTTTTTGTCCTCTTACTGAATTGACCTTTTTATCATTACATAATGAAATTTCTTTACCTCTTTTTATAGTTTTTGTCTTGGAATCTGTTTTATCTAATGGAAATATAACTACTTTTGCTTTATTTTGGTTTCCCTTTCATGAAATATCTCTTTCCTTCCTTTCATTTTTAGTCTATGTGTATCTTAATATGTGAAGTGTGTTTCTTGTAGATGACATATAGTTGGAACTTTATTTTTCTTTTGATGCATTTCACTGCTCTCTTTGAATTGGAGAGTTTAATCCATTCACATTCAATGTTGTTATTGGTAGGTAAGTACTTTTCACTGCCATGTTGTTATTTGATTTCTGGTTGTTTGTGTTTCTTTCTTTCAATCTTCCTTCCTTCCTGTCTTTTTTTTTTTGTTAAAAGGGATTTTTTCTGGTGGTGTGTTTTAATATCATTCTTCTTTGGTGTTTGTTTTCTGATTTGAGATTATTGTGAGGCTTGCAAAAACCATTTTATAATCAACATATTACAACTCTGTTTACAAACAAATAAGCAAAGATAAATCTAACAGAAGTTCAAGACGTCAATTCCACCCGCCATTGCTTTTTGACTTTTTGTTCTTTCCATCTATATGTTTTTACATTAGCTCTCTCAAAAAATTATTATCAGTATTTTTGATAGGTTTGTGTTTTAGTCTTCCCACTCAAGATATAATGAGTCTGTACACAATAATTACAGCAATAGAATATTCTATATTTGAGGGACTTACTGTAACTAGTGAATTACATACCTTTAGATGATTTCTTATTGTTCATTAACATCTCTCTTCCCAAGTTCCCCACTGTTTTCTTTTTTTTGGCTGGTGGGGGAGCTAGCAGGAACTCACGTATCAGGGCAGAGGACTTCTCTCAGGTTGGGCTAGTCTAAATGCTCCCTCTGTGAGCACTAGCAGATTTCTGCCCTGTGCTGTGTTCACTTGTGACAGGGCTGCCCTGAATTGCAATGTACTATCCCACAATTACTTCACTCTTTTTTCCCCACTTACACAGATTCTCTCTTCATTGGGCCCAGGTAGGTGGCACTAGTAGGGCCTTGGGGAGGTGTTGTATAGGCAATGCAAGACTTTTCTGCCCTCCCTGGCACCTCTTCTCTTGACATAACTTTAAAATCAGGTACTATGATTGCTCACCTGCTTTTTGATTCTTCAGAAGGTGATTCCTTGTGTAGATGGTTGTTGAATTTGCTGTTTGTGTAAAGGGGCAATCACTGGAGTTTTCTATTTAGTAATTTTTCTCTGTCCCCCTCCCTCTAACTTCATTGTTGTTTTCAGGCATATATGTAATTGGTGAAGTGGGGGTGCTAGAGGCAGTTTTAAATGCAACTTCTTCATTGTAGAAATAGGCAAATCATTAGGGATAGGCAAGTACTGGTGGGACAACTAAAATTGGGTTATGCATGTTTCAGAAGAGGATGCGACCAAGTACATACTGTGTTACCAAGCTGTCAATCAAGAATAATCCCAGGATAGCTCTGCTGAACATTGTGGGAAGCTCCTGCCATACCTTTATTCTTCCATTGCCAGATTTAATTATGTCCTTGCTTCCTCAGGATGAGAAACAGGCATATGGGAAAGGTGTAATTACATTCCCAATGGTAGTGTAATAATATTCCATGACAGAAAAATATAGTCACCATATGTTGTATTCTGTAAGTTAAAAAAAAAAAATTCCTAGCTTCTGGGACTTTTCTCTGACTAAGATTGAAAAAGGAGAATTTTCTTCTATATATAGGGTTCCTAATGGCTTATTGTGGTAATACCAAATTAATTTCAGCAGCTTCTACTTGTTTCATTAAGAGATGGACTTTTAAAATGAATTTTAAAATTTGATAATTCAATATAGCTCTCATTTTCAAATGAATAATGACTATTTCTGCTTTGGGTATGGTTCTGTTTTTATTGGAGAAGGTAAAATTTTCCCCAAAAGTATATCTTTAAAACTCCTTCTGGGTGTATACATATCGCTCCTAGAATTTCATATAAATTTATATAACAGTACTTATTTTGCAGAAAGAGATGAGGGAATACTTGAACATTTTTTATACCTATGCCCTTCTAGAATAAATTGATTTACCTGAATTGCCAGACTCTCTTTTCTGCTACTGTGGTCAGCTTTTAAAATTTAGCATTCTTGTTGACAGATGGAGGATGCATTGAAGGCGGCAGACACCATTGGGTACCCAGTGATGATCCGTTCTGCCTATGCCCTGGGCGGGTTAGGCTCAGGCATCTGTCCCAACAGGGAGACCTTAATAGACCTTGGCACAAAGGTATGCATTTTCATAGACAATATTCTTATAGACCCAAAAAACTGACTTCATATACCCTTTCAACTGGAGAAAGTTATATAATGAGAATACACCTTCTCACCATTGACTAAATCCCCATGATGTTTTCTAAGTGTATTGTCCAAAAGACAGCACTTTTGAGAGGGAAGCGCAGTGCCACTGTTTGTGCTGGGATGCAGTGACAAGCCACGTGGTTCTAGATAAAGTATTTTACTTAAAAGTTCTTACATTGTATAATCTACAGACTTCAATGACATGAACTTAATACAACTCCATCTTCCTCTGTTTCAAAATCTACTTTAAAATATTTAAAAGCTAAAATATATTTTATCGGCTAAGGAAAAATAGAATATGATATCCTATTTTTCATTTTTTAAAAAAATAATGTGAAATGGACCATATTCAGTAAGTGAAATAAAGCACTTTGCGTGGCTTGGCTTTCTCCCAAGTTCAGTATATGCAATATAAACCTCTCAGTATAAAAATGAGTGAACTTTGTTAACTACTACACACACAACAAAAACAAAAGTTGATATTTAAGTGTTTTAATTTATTTCTTATCAAATCACTTTAACATAGTACTAAGTACTTCTTTTCTTGAGTATTAAAGGAAAAATCTTGAGATAATTAAGATATTCTCCAAAAAGTGAATTAGAGATTAATACAGAAAATGTCTTCCAGGAAAATAGACTTTTGTCCACATTCTACTTCTATGGAATAAACCAGTGCCTGGAAATACTGAAGGATCAATAATTACTTTGAATGAATACATATGTGTGTAGCCAAGAATCTCACGTAGCTTACATGGCAGTCATGGAGGCAAATTTGGCAGAATCAATGTGAGGCTACTTTGGGGAGTGCTTAGTAAACAGCTCAAGCATAGCTTACAGATTTATCGTTACTTTCTGAATTGAAATAAATGAGACTTTAATTGTTGACATAAGATATTGAGAACATAGACTTACAATTAAAAATACTTAAATAATTACATATGAACTGCTTGAATTTCATTTTTTCTAAAGTTGTGAAAAATTACAAAAAAGAGGTAAACATCATATATATGTATATATATATGTTTTTTGTTTCCATTCTGTATTTTGAAATCATGTATTTAAGGCAAAATCATACTCATGGGGATATAAAAGTTTATTTCCTCTAGCACATTAGGTGTTTTATCTGTTTTCAATTTCATTATTTCCACCAATAGTGGCAATGTGTGCTTATTTGGTATTAAAATATTCTTCATTGTATAAAAAAACCCTTTTGGATACTGAATATTTTATATAAAAAATTGCCCATTTGGAATAAGATAGTTTTCAATTACTAATCAATAGGTCTTTGAATAGTTTGCCTTCTTGAAAAACACCTAGCTTTTCCCTTGAGAATAATTAGTTCTATCTTTATGTCCTAAACTATCTCCTTATTCTCCTGAGGTTATAATTAATGCCATTAAAAGCTACATTAATTCACCCAGGTCCCTAAATTAACTTTTTATGTAAAATCTGAGATTCAAAAGAAAAGAAGCAGACTGAGGAACAGGTGAAGATGACCTCCATTTCCTTATTCCCCCAAATCCATTCTACTTCATTAGAATGCAAAAAGCTTCCCCAATTTGTATCCTTTGTTTCCTAAATTTCTTCTTCTAGCAGGCAAATGGAATGACAAATTAATCATTATTTATTGTTATCATTGGCTACATGATTTCTTCACCACTTTGAAAACCTCATCGTGGTCAGCCGTGGGAACAATTTTCAATTGCATGTGCGAGAGCCCTTAACGATGACTGAGATTAAAAAAACAGCGTTGAGACACATTATAGAAAAACTTACATTGAGTTATTTTATTATACTGCCTACTAATCATTTGAAAAAGTTCAAACTACATTCATTTTCACTGCTACCCTAAATTGAATATATTATGAAACAAAAGGACATTTCTGTCTTAGATTATGAGCTACATGTCCTAAGGTCAGAGATTGCCTATTCATATTCTGGGTTCAGTATTCTACCTACTGTGGACATTCTGTAAATAGGCAATGATAATTACACTAATTCATATCTGTCTAATCAGGTATACATGATACATGACTCAGGGTAGTTAAGCACTTAGGCAGTGATTAACCACAATAATAGTCACATAAGATTCATAAGAGTCTTCTAATTCCTAAGTTTCTTATGCCATCTTGGCTAACTGTTTATAACCATCATCATCTCCTTTCTCCTCCTCATCAACATCAACTAACTTTTATTGTGTGTGTCGCTGTACAAAGCACCCTCAGCTATTTTAGAGAGAGTCGGAGTCTTTAGACTTATTTTTCCACATTTATTCACACTTATCACATTTTCCAGTTTCACAGAAGCCTAGCTGCTGAAATAATTTCATTTTCCTCTGCCTGATTGCCCAATTATTTTCTCTTTTTCCTAAATTAGTTTGATTTAATGTCACATCAGCACTTTGAATGGCAAGCCTCAATAATGCAAATCAAGCGCATTCACTGCGGGATGCTATTCCTAGCACCTCGCTGAATGGTGCCTTCTGGAGTGTAGGGAAGGATGAAGATTCGTTTTGTGACTTCAGTGCTGACCATGATTTAAGCCAGGCATTTTGCCAAGTATCCCGGTTTAGGCCACTGTCTTCTCTTACTCTTTGATACCTTTTGTCACCAATTTTTAGGCCTTTGCTATGACCAACCAGATTCTGGTGGAGAAATCAGTGACAGGTTGGAAAGAAATAGAATATGAAGTAGTCCGAGATGCTGATGACAACTGTGTCACCGTCTGCAACATGGAAAATGTTGATGCCATGGGCGTTCACACAGGTAGGCAAAGAAATCTTCAGGAATTCCAGAGATGCCTTCAGCTCACGTCTCTGATGGCCACACTCACCTTTATGGTGTTCTTCTCCTTATGTTATTTCTAGCTGACAGACAAGTGATCACATTTTTCACATGTATAGTATTTTACAGTATTGGAAATATTCTCACGTTTTATTTGATCTACACAAAAACCCTATGAAGTAAGGCAGGTATTATTATACTGATTTCACTTGAGCAAAAGGTTAAAGATAAACAATTTAGTGGTAAAATCTGTAAGACTTAGTAAGAAGTGAAGTAAGAAGTGAAGTGAAGTGAAGTAAGAAGTGAAGTAAGAAGTGAACTTGAGAAGACCTAAAGCGGACAGAGGTGTTAGTCAGCAAGTAAATGAGAAAATAGGCACAGGTAAGAGAAACAGATTTCTCAGGAAGGTAAACTAGTTGGGTGAGAGGGCAAAGATGATGACCGAAGTTTTAGAAATGCTAAATTTGAGGCGTGGGTGGTATTCTATGAAGGGAGTCGAGAATGTGGAAATGGAGTTCTGGAAAACAGAACAGAAATGAAGTTGAGACGAGGTCATTGGAAATCATTGCTATATAGGAAACAAAGCTGCAGGCTTAGAAAAAGTATTCAGGAGTGTAGGTACATAAAGGGGAGAGGCAAACTTTGAACCTGGGAAACATTTAGATTTATAGAGCAGGATAGAGAAAATGGACTAGTGTTGAAGGCAGAAGGGAGGAATGGAGAGTAAGGAGGGAAACCGGGGTAGTACAGTCCCAAGTAAGCCAATGCAGGACATATTTTATGCAGGATTTTTGTTTTTGGTAGTATTAAATGCTATGCAAGATCATGAATGATAAATGATTTAAATTTGGCTTTTTAAATGTCCGAGAGGACAATTTCATTGCAAAGTTAATTCTGTGAGCCCAGTTGAAAGGAATTATATGGCAATGAGTGATAAACAGAATTGGCAAACTTGCAAGAAGCTCAGGCATGTAAAGTAGTGAGAGTGAAGATCTGTGTGATTGTCTGGTAATGTTGGGAGAGGGGCTTCTCGAGGCCTGAGCATGCTTGAGGGCAGAAGTAATGGAGACTGAAGGTATAAAGGGCTGAGTGGTGAGGAGTGAGAATGAGAAGGTCTGAGATGCAGAAAGCACGTGGATAAGCCAGTCTGGACGAGGAGGGGATAACATTCCAGGGAAGGAAGAACTTGCAAGACAATTTAAGCTGAAAAGAAGGGAGGTTAAAGAAGTTAATGTCAATTCAATAAGCAGATGATTATATCCTTTATAGCTAACTGAGCTCGGGAAATTTTAGCAGGGTTTCTATAAGCATTGTCAGAATAATATGGACAGAATATTATTAGAATATAATATTATCAGAATAATATGGACAAAACAAGAATCAAGGGGAATACTTAATATCTCACGTATAGATATTACCTTAAAATAATCATTTTCCCAGCACACCTTCAGAGTGTTCTGTGTCTTGTACTGTGCATGTAGATGGTTAAGTCAATGAAGTTGGTGATTTACATATGCCACCAAATAATGAGTGCTGCTTGTTTACGCAGGTGATTCAGTTGTTGTGGCCCCTGCCCAGACACTTTCCAATGCGGAGTTCCAGATGTTGAGACGTACTTCCATCAATGTGGTCCGCCACTTGGGCATTGTGGGTGAATGCAACATCCAGTTTGCCCTTCACCCTACCTCAATGGAATACTGCATCATTGAAGTGAATGCGAGGCTTTCCCGAAGCTCTGCCCTAGCTTCCAAGGCCACGGGGTAAGACCAGAAGCATTGACCACGGGTTTGCAGGTGCTTCACAGACAGAAATGGAAAACAGGCAGCTAGTGGAAAACTGCTGTGCCTTTACAAAGTATATTCCCCATTTCTGTATGCTAGCTCCAAATCCTTCATGGGACCCTAAGGACGTGGTTATTAATGAGCTTGCTGCCAGATTGAGGCAAATGGTATTGCTAGCTGGCTTTGTTTGCTGGCTAATCATAAACTAATCAAAATCTGGGTGGTCAAAGCAGTCTGTGAAAAATCTGCTTCTTAATTGTGCTTTGCAGATGTTGTTAAAAGTGCAAATTAATCCTTAATGTTAGTCCTCAACTGGCTTTTCCAGGAGTATAGTTCTATAGCAAATAGCTGACAAAAAAATGTAGCTCACTCAACCCAAACACTCCATACACATTGCTTTTATTTTAGCAAAATTCTGCAAGACTGAACAATGTAGAATTTTTCCATAGGTAAATGTTGCAAACAAATAAATAAATTTACTGTTCATTTAACAGCTGCTGGCTAGCATAATTGGAAGGAAAATTAATTAAAACCTTTCATTTCTATTAATACATTGGTATCTTGTAGTTAAATTACATGACATTTACATGAACACAATATTTACTTCCAAAGATTTCTAAGGGCAGTCACACAGGGCTGCTGCAAGGAGTGGTGGGAGGTGTGTTGCCCGATGTAGGATCATAAGACCTGAGTTCTCATTTTGTTCTTCCATTGACTGTGTAGTTTTGGGCACATCACTTACCATTTCTGTCAGTTTTCTTATCTGTTAGGTGGGGAGTTGTACTAAAAAAACTCGTGTTCAATTCTGTAGTTCTATGAATTATTTTCTCAAATAAAATGACCAAAAACTGACATTCTGAATGAAGACAGTCAATTTTCCAGAGTGTTAATTTGGAAGGAACCCAAAGTTTAAAGATAATTTGGAAGCAGAGCAAGGACCCAAACTTTCAAAGCCTACATTTGCTACCATTACGTATTCCCAAGTGCTATTTAACCCCACTGTCTACTCAGGTACACACACACACACACACACACATATATATATATATATTTTTTTTTTTTTCCTTAAAAGAATATTTGCAGATTCTCATCTTAATGGAGGATAAACACAAGTGGAGGTTGAAACCTTCTTTATCGAGGATGCTTTTGATTTTGGGTTGAAGAGGTGAAGATAGGAGTTGTCGCTATGCCTGCAATGCATAGAGAGTGGATATTGCTGTGACTTACACCTCTATCCCTGTATCACACTTATATTGTTTTATACATGGCTATTAAATATTTATAAGAACATAGAATCAAGCATGAAGTAGAATAATACCAGAATTTTTTTTAAAAACACATTTTATATTTTGGATTATTTTCAATACTTCCTGCTCAAAGAAAAAAAATAAGTTTATGTCCTTCTTTATAGCTACCCATTGGCATTCATTGCTGCAAAGATTGCCTTAGGAATCCCACTTCCGGAAATCAAGAATGTTGTATCAGGGAAGACATCAGCCTGCTTTGAACCCAGCCTGGATTACATGGTTACCAAGATTCCCCGCTGGGATCTTGACCGTTTTCATGGAACATCCAGTCGAATTGGTAGCTCTATGAAAAGTGTAGGAGAGGTAAGTGCTTGGTTTATTTCTCTATTTTTTTCTTGTTATCACTTTTTTTTTTTTTTGGTAACACCACTGAAAATCTTAAGGTTGCCTGGGCTACTGGGTTATAGATGGGAGAATATACAGGATTTACATTTCTTCTTTAGTGCTTTAACATCTCTCTATTTGCTAGAATATTACATTTGTGAATAGAATATAACACCTGGCCATTTTGCTGGACTGAAAAAACCTTTCTATTCAAAAGGCAAGGTCAGATATGTGGGCATATAATACATACACATTTGTGAAAACATATTAAAATAAATATAACTGAGTTATAATTTGTTTTATAAACAAAGTAAAATGATATATAAGATGATATAATGTCCCCAAAAGACTACTGACCTGAGGTTAAGAATTCATCTTTAGTCCACTCATGGAAACTGTGCCTTTAACCTCTTTGAACCTCACTTTTTACAACTATGCAAGAAAAGACTGGACAGGATGATCCCTTAGAGCCCTTCCAGCTCTAAAATTCTGAATTGAGATGAGCTCAGTGGAAGGAATACTAACCCCTTTTTCATTATACTAAAAAGTGTTAAGCTTTACGCATCATTAGAGGGTTTTTCATAATGCTCTATGTTATACTGTATGAAATTAAAGTTAGCTTTTGATTATTTCATCTTCAAACATGCAGTACTCTTCTGTTTGGGAAGAAAGGAATTCAGGTCTCTGCCTCTGAGATTGACTCCTCCCTCCCTCCACTGAGCCCTTATCTCTTTCTGCTTGGTGTAGAGGAGAGGGCATGAGCCCTAGAATCAGATAGACCCAGGTGTTACTCATGGCATTGCCACATACCAGCTGGAAACTCTCAGGAATCACCCCAAGCCTCAAGATGCACGCCTACAAAGCAGAGATGATAGGATCTACCTTGCAGGGTTCCGGATTAATGCTTATAAAGTGTTTATTAATGTAGTTCATCATTATTATTGCTCTTAAATTACTATCCACAAATATTGTGTAGGAGAAGAGTTTTTGAGTAGCAGAAATTTGTACGAATCTCAATTTTTATCATCTATCACTTATCCATCTGTCTGTTTTAGTTTATCTCATCTCTATCTCTGTTGTGGCCAGTGTGGAAGCTTTTAGACTGTGTCTAAATAACTAAGCTGGCTAGAATACAGAACAAAAGGCTATTTATGACATATCTTTCCTTTTCATCCTTCATTTGTCCCGTGACACGTATTATATAGCCTAAAATCACACAAGCCATTTCAGAAATGCATGTCAAGAATATTAGGAATTATAGCTTAAATCCATCATAAACATGGGGGGATAAAGACATTTTACTAGTTGATCATATTCACATACAAAGGCAGAATTGTCACCAGTATTTGGATTTTTCAATTTCCAACATATTAATGAAAGATTTTAGAGTAATGGCAAATAGCACACTTTTGACCTTTTAAATGAAAATAGCTACTTATAAAACACCAAGTAGTGGTTTTTCCTTCTTCGTGGTTGTTTTAAATCTTATTTTTTTTCCATGATGATTTTCAGTGCACAAAAGAAGTAGAACTCAAATGCCACAAAAGTTGGTAGTGTTTCCATCAAATAACTGTTATTTTATTTAGTTTATATTTCATGGGAAGTACCCTTTTTTCATAATGTAAAACTTGTAGGCCAAAGAACTTGAGAAAACTTTGTGATATTTTCATTTGGGGCTTATATTAGCTGAGGTATTTTCATTGTCAATGAGTATTTAGCACATTACCTTCAATCCAACTCAAGTTGGCAAATAGCCCTGAGTTCTTGCTATGCGCCAGACTGGGAGGATAAGACAGGGAGTAAGTTGTGGATAATTGTACACATTGTCTGCAGTTGGTGAGTTCAGAACATAGAAACAAATGAACTAAAACATAATGTGAGCTAATCTGTGGTAAATGTTGAAATTTAGTATTGTTATTTACAGTTGCAGTGAGAATATAGTAGAATAGGGTCAAAGATGATCATGGTAGTCCTTCCACAGGAAAATAGTAACATATTTTCACCCAAGGAGAATAAGCTTTACTAACGTGTAATATCCAAAAGCACAAGTTTTGAGCAAACACTTAAATAGATGAATTTCTATATAATGCCACACATATTATTTCTCTGTACTTTTATGCAGAGTACGCTTAAGAATAATAAAAATATGTGGAGAGTTACTTACAGAATTAATTATTGTATGGCCAAATTTTGAACATATGTTTAAAATTACTTTAATAAAGTAAATATTTTTTTAAAAAGTAAAATAAAATAAAACATTCAATTTCTGGCTCTCTTCCATGTCTAGGCTACACAATCTATAAGCATATTGTCTAATTCCTCAAGATGCCACTATGATTTGCAAATTGCCTGTCTGAACTGGGCTAATGTTTTGTTTATCCTTGCTCTTGTGAATCTTCCCTTATTTCTAATTAAATTTGGAACAGTATGAAAAGGTTATCTGCTTGGCTTTAGTGATCTTTGAATATGTATCTTGTCACGCAGTTGACAGGAAGCTATCCTAAGCTGGCAGTAATGGGAATTTGAGTCTGTCAGAGGATCATGAACGTTTACTGAAGGCAGCATCATGAGTGTTATTATTTTAAATTGGAGACCAAACAGGCACGGCAATCTATGGAAAGATTCAAAGACAATGTTTATCCAATGAAAATAACTGAGTAGGCCACAAGGTCAATTTAAGTTTAGTTCTGACTTGTAAATTGTCCAAAGTAAATCAACACATGACTTTTTCCAATTGATTAGTGTACAATCAGCTGTAAAGATTGCAGGAAGACACATTGAATTTGTCATGGGGAATTTAGTCTCTGCCTACATTTGAAATCCTAATCTATCAGTATTCGTTATGTTTCTCAAGGTTCTATAAATATTAATGCTTAGCTATTAAAAAAAAAAAAAAGCCAGCCTGTCTTAGGTACTGACTGATACTTATTTAGAAATAATTCTGTTCTTATGTTAATATACGCTCAGTTTCTATTTGCTCTCTGTTCTAATGCAAGGGCCTATATGCTCCAACCACATATACCTTATTTTCAGACTATGGCCCAGAGCAAGGGCAGGTGATTTCCTCATCAATCTCAGCAAATACAGCTGAATTCCCTATGTAGTAAAAGACTGACCTAATGTTAAAGACTCATTACACCAAAACCATGGAAAAAGGGGAGAGGAAAAAACCAAATACCTGAAGTTCGAGTTGTGTTTTGCTGTAATTTTTGTTCTTAAGTCTTTGTTGAAAAAGGTTCCATGTACAGTTCTATTACAAGTTCAAAATATGTAAGCTCTTTCTTTCAATATGTGATTTTAAACGTGTATCACAGGTCATGGCTATTGGTCGCACCTTTGAGGAGAGTTTCCAGAAAGCTTTAAGGATGTGCCACCCATCCATAGATGGTTTCACTGCCCGTCTCCCAATGAACAAAGACTGGCCATCTAACCTCGACCTCAGAAGGGAGCTGGCTGACCCATCCAGCACCCGCATCTATGCCATTGCCAAGGTAATATGTCACAAAGGGCCCAGACTACCTATTTTTATTTATTTTTTCAAACATAACCTAAAAACTGAATCACAAAGTGGTCTTGGATTCAGCAAGTTTTAGAAAAATTTAAATTCTCTTCTATAATATTAAACTGGAGATGTCTATGGATTTCATTGGATTGCTCTATGCCTAGTGATAAATTGTCCTTTTTTATTTGACTTTAAACCTGGATATAAGAGCACATTGTAGTTTTAGAGGATGATTAGATAGATGAAATGTCCCTTTCTCCTAGTGTACATGGTATCCATTCTCTCCAGTAGATTTGGCAATATTGACTTGTCCTTTCCAATTACCTTTCCTTATTTGTTCTTTGAAAATGTGTAAAATTTTATTTTAGGGAGGAAGATGCATGCATTAACAATGCTGAATATGTGCTTCCTAAGACTCTAATTTATTTGTTCTTTTTCTGTTTAAACAACAGCAACAAACTATAAAGAACTTTCATGATTACAGGCTTCCATGTAATTATTTTATTGGTTTTTACTTTTAGGAAAAAAAGGCCCCACATTTCTCACTTCTAGCCACGAGTTCCTTTTACTGCAAATTAAATGCCATATTAATCTCCTTTCATATTTACTGTGCTTAGAGTTTTGAAGTTTCAGCTGATCTGATTTTATGAAAGGTGACTTGGGCAGCTGGAATCTGTCTGGTCAGAAATCCCTGAATGGCTTTTTGACATTTAAGAAAGCGCAGGCATTAATCCTCCAACAGTATCAACCCACGCTGGGTCTACAAAGCCCCACTGACCATTTTATGTTTGTCTGTGTGTGTGTGTGTGTGTGTGATGAGCTGATGAAAATAAGAATTCTCTCTTGAAAGAGAGAATCTGCCTTTGTAATTTATCTGTGTTGTAGCAGAAAAATGTTGGTAGTGATTGTGAACTCACTGCAACTTTCATGTTCATGTCTTGAGAGGCCTGGAGAGAGATGCGGGGGAGCCAGGGCACTTCCTTTACTGCATCTTGTGGTTTCGAAATGCAAAATATTTAAGTGTCATTAAAATTCTGGCAAATACTATTATCTCTTGGTGAACATTTTTTAATGTTGAGTTCAAGGTAATTAATATTTTTCATGGTGGTGGTGGGGGCATAGCAATGATTAGAGGTTATTTTTAGAAAGCCATTTCAAATTCTTTATTTATGTACGATTTCTATTTCAACCTTTTATTTAAAACCCGACCTGTGACATTCACATGTCTGTGCATTATGTACATACATCTGTACATGTATGTATACATTTCTAGAATGTATTTTTTTTTCCCTCAGGGAAAGGACAGTAAATGGATTTTTCCCCTTAACTCTAACAATCATGTTTCTGCCACTTTGAGGCAGGTTAAGAAGGAGAGCATTTCCAAGTTCCCAGCGAGGCTGTAAACTCAAGCAAATCTCTCATTCTTTTCTAACAGACTCATAAAGGATGAGAATTCAGGAAAAAAAATGTGTGGAGGTGTTTTTTTTTTTTTTTTTTGCAGAGTACCTAGTGTCTCAACAAGAAGCACAGGGTCTGAGGTATAAATTATTGTCTGCCGGAGTGCTGGGAGAAGGAACTGATTTCTGTTTGTTAGAGGTCATCATTACTGTTCCATCCACAGCAACCCAGGAACTTGGTGATTTTGACAAAGCGTGTGAGGACCACGGAGGGCTGAAGGGGAAAAAGAATGAAGGGAGGGTGTAAATCTCTGCTTGCTTTCATGATTCTCAGAAAAGGGCAACTTGCTCTAAGGTCTGATTTTTTGCAGTAGTCTTATTTCAGAATGACTGGATCATCACCTCTTTTGATTTGGGGAGAATGCAGGGTATTATTTTTTAGTTGGGGAACATTAAAGTAACCTCAAACTTGTTTGGGGTTATTAGAGACTTCATTACAGCTGTGGCGCTTGGTGATGAAGTCGTAAGCCTGGCAGGATGGTGCTTCATGTTCGGGATTGTGGATATGACTGTCGTTGTCCTTCCTCTCAGTGAAATGACTTCAGAATTCTGGGCCCTCCTTCACTGTGTGTGATTGTGTGAAAACTTCCTTTGATCTGCCAAAATATCAGTAGCTAAAGGTTCTATCTACCTCCAGTGTTGATGGGCGACAGCTAATTGTGCCTTTAATCATTTGGAAAATATGATAGAATATGAAGTCCTTGGGAACCTGACTCTAATTACAGGGAGAATTAAACAAAAGAAACATAAATAGACTCAGAAAATGAATGTGGCTTTGAGTATTTCCGTTAAATGTCATCTTACTCTAGTCAACAAAATTATGAGCCATGCTACATCTTAACACTCATAATCATGGTCTCTCTGATTCTAGAAATAAGAAGATGCTTTAAGAGAATGAAGCACCCTGGGTTGAAACATAACAGTAGCATTAGTAGTTACATATATTTCTTATGAGGGTTTAAAAATATAATGTGCCATTCTAAAATATATTGTTTTGGAATAATGCCCAATGATTATTTTTCGTAGGGTATACACAAATACACACAGATATATCTCTATATGCATGTATACAAGAATAAGAATGGACATATTTGAGTATGAAGGTTTTGGTTTTGAGAGTTTGTCTTTTCTTTCAATTACATTGTCTACTCGGCTTAATGATCCTTAGTTGTAAGTTTATTTTTGAGAAATTGCTAAAGTAAGCTAGAGGAAAAGGCTGAGCTGCCTATCAGAAAAGAAGTTATTACTACATGATTTGGGAATATATTAGGATTTTTAAAAATGCCCTGCCTTAGCACAAAATTCATAGTAATTGATTCACAATAACTTTCTGTTCAAAGTCCTCTGTGAGGAAATATTCTAGAGAAATAATACCAAGTCAGATTTGACCCACAAATTCTCACTGATTATTGTATGTTTGTGTGAATGTGGAGTAGGGTGATAAAAATATGCTATTTACTAGAGGATAAGTACAACAAATACAACCTACATAATCATTACACTGATTCCAGATTTCCTCACCAGTCGGTCCTAACTGTAATTTCAAGATTCTCTTTCATTCTAAAGAGTTGTATTGAATACGAGATATACTTGGTCACAGGGTCAAATAAGAGTGGTATGTACCCTGGGGTGTTTTTCAAGATATGTGCCTCTTCTGTGTGCCACTTCTGGATGTAGTGGACCCCATCTTTAGGATTACTGGAAGGAATGTCAGTAATCAGTTTCGTGTTCCCTATTTTAGTCTGTAGACACGGGTTCCTAAATAATGCAGAGAGGCACGACTACTATATGCTTTCGACCAAATAAGCGTTTTATAAAATATTTGCCAAAGAAAGTCTCTTCTTTTTAATAGGCTTTGGAAGACAACATGTCCCTTGAAGAGATTGAGAAGCTGACGTACATTGACAGGTGGTTTTTGTTTAAGATGCGTGACATTTTAAACATGGAGAAAACACTGAAAGAGCTCAACAGGTAAGGCAGTGTGGCTCTGATTCACTCTAGATATTTTCTGTGCAGTTTTGGAACAGTCTTTGCCTTATCCTTAAGCATATGCCCAAAATTCTCCTTCAGCGAGGTAATAATGGTCATGTTGGAAAACAACGGCTGTAGCAAGGAGACAAATGACAGTTTTTTTTAGATGTTTACCTTTTGAAAGGCATCTGTTAAATTTTTAAATGTATCATCTATCCCGACTCCTGCCATCAGATGCAGTGATGGTTTTATCAGGTCTTCTGCATCTACAAAACTGGGGATGCCTTTATGAATGCATGTGTTATTTAACTACCAGATATTACCTAGTTTTAAATTGTATTAATCAATCATTGAACGAATCACATTCCTGTTTTCTATAGATTTTGTTCTAAGTTCTTAAGCCCATTTTTCCCTTTTCATGGAAACCTATGCATTGCTATGTGCTGATGAGCAAATGTGTTCCTCTTGCATTCTACTGATATTTTTAACCCTGGGACTTCCAGTTTAGCATACAAATAAGCCACATTCAAGTATCTGTTAATTGACTCTTTACCTCTTACTCATTTACATTTTTATCTCCTCCATGGCCAATTATTTTTAAATTTCATTTCCTGTTGAGAGTATTCTGATAATGCCAGTGCTTTAAAATCTACTTTTTAAATTTTTCATGGAAAGACAGTTTGCTGGGGTACCTTCGGCTTATGAAATTATGGATAGGTTTTAAATATTTATCTTTGCTAAGAGGAGTATTTATTACCAAATTAAGGAAGACAATATAGTCCTCTTCAGCTTCTCCCCTCCAGGAAACCTCTGACATACACTAGTGTTAGAAAGGAAGTCTCTTCTACATACCTAAGGATATGTTTAGAGAGGGGAAATATTTTGTGTAAATTGTTCTCAAGTGATTTGAGAAGATGTGGGAACTTTAATCATTTAAAATGCTGATAAATTCAGTAGAAGGTCTCAAAGCCTGGATTGCTCAACTATTTAGGAACTGTAACACAAAACTGGGTTATTGCATTTGTCTAATCAATATGTTTATAAGCTGGGCAATAAAATACATGATTTGGGGGGGAACAAAATTAGGTCTATTTTCATCTATTTAATAATTGCCTGTGTGAGATGCTTGGCTGTGAAAATTGGGGATTTCTATCTGACAAAGATTAAGCTAACTACATTTGCTTGTAAATCACCCTTTCTAGTGATCACTTGAAATGAACAGTAGATAGCAAATAAGTTAGGAATGGAGCCTGTACATTCATCTTAGAATTCTGCTGACTTAAAATTTCCTTTCCTGCTTTATGATGCCAGCAGAACTTCCTGTTGAAGGATGGTCTGCTCCAGTGTTCTCAGTCTCAGGCAACTGAGTTTAAATGCCTAGGAAACCACTCCAGTTAAACCACATGAGGGTGCTAGCAACTTGCAGGATGCCAAACATAGCTGCAGAAAAGACCTTGGTTGGAAGAAAGCAGATGTTATTGTGATTTAAATTTCCACTTGATAGACGTTCTGATTTTTGGACAAATTCAATGTTTTAATTGAATAGTTTTTTGTTACAACCAGAAGGCAGGTTGAGATTCCATCTAAGCATAGAAAGGGTATATTAATAGTGAGAAAGGTCCTTGGAGGATTAAAACAGCACATTCTTACAGATCGCTTAGAATAGCAGTCTCACTTCCACATTCTGTTACATTTATATGCTGATTGATGTTTTCTGTCTCCATTTTCTGACATTAATATATTTGTAAAATACTTTCTATTTTCATCAGAATTTACGTGAATAACTTTATATAAAGCTTTTAATTTATAAGCTTTTAAATTTAAGTCTAATTTAAAAGGTTTCTAAAATTATACTCATAGTTATCTACTTTAGGTATAAGTCTGTTTTGGTGCAGGGACGGGAAAGTGCCTGTTACATAGCAGAAGCTGAAGTAAATCTGGGTAGAACTCAATGGATGATCCCTGGCCTTGGTAAACTAACCCCTGAACTCATTATCCGAGTGTGACTTTACTATTCACATCATTTTTTTTAAAAGTGTCATTGATGTACACATAAAAATTCAGTAATGAATGTTACTTAGGGGTGTTAGATAAAAAAGTAAGAATACATGACCACTGAGGCTTCCAGTCTCAATCCAGTCTGCGGCACATAGTGGTCTGAAGTTGAAAGGGTATCAAAGCTGATGGAATTAAAAGAGTGTAGGCCTTGAGTTACCTCGTTCTATTTTGATTATTCTCACCATAAGTCCACATTGTGCAGTCCTCTGCTTTTTCTCAGCCTCTAAGTCCACGTAGCCTTGGTCAACAAGATATGAACTGCTCCGACAGTTCATAACAGCTTGTAATATAGTATCTCTCTGTTAATGATTGGCATTATGTGGCTGGCTTACGTATTGTCAATTTGGAGAAGGGTTGAAATTAGTTGTTGTTTTTCATTTGCATGTACTGGTGGTTCATTTTGTTTTAAAATCTCAACTACTCCTGTATTAGAAAGGCTGACTTTACATGTAGGCTCAGGAGGTAACTATTTATTTGGTGTGAGTTGAGAGGATCCTAAAGTTCTCCTGGTTCAACATATCTCTGGGTACCAATACATCTCCCTTCCTTTGCACTTGTCAGATAGAAAATAAGTAATGGGATTGCATTTGGGAGAATAAAAGAAACTTTAAAGAGAGGATAAAGTACAGAGTGCTAGGCGTGGGGTAAGTTTTGCCTGGTTCCTTCCTTGTGGGCTGGGAGCCAGAGAGACTGATGTATATGGTGGATTCAGGGGCACCTCACCTCCCTCACTTCTCTAGCTCTGTAGTTCTTCTTCTTAATGTCTACTTCATAGTTTTGTTGTGAAGCTTAAATAAGATAAATATAAAGGACATCTAGCACATGGTGAGTGTCTAAGAAAATTTTCCCTCTTTTCTACTGAAAACCAAAATATTGCTTGTTTCAGTAATATTTTCTGACTTTAGACATATGCATTTAAAGACTCATCTTCAGAGTCACAATTTGTATTTGCTCATATACATGTATTTTAAAATATATCATTTCTCAGTTTTCTTTATGATTAACACAAGACCTGTTTTTTTAAAGGATGCAATGATAGCTGCTGATACAGGTGATTATCTTATTAACAGATCAATAGTATTCTATTATGCTCACAAACAAAAAATTCCCACTCTATTGTTGTTAATCAAGCTAAAGTTCTTCTAAAATCCAATAAACACATTCAGTAGCAAAGGATGAGAATATTACTCAAATAGATAGCCAGTCTGTGTGACTTGTACCTATGTGAATATGTGCAGGTTGGGCTAGAAGAAAAGAAAATGGTCATAATAAGGTAGGCTTTGTGGAAATAACTTATGAATTTTCCATGCTCATGAGAAAGTGGAAATTATAGTAAGAAATCTCCCCTTCTTTGAAGGGCGGAGATAAGCAAGCGTCGTGATCAGAATGATGTATGACAGCCCAGCCTTCTTCAGGTTGATGTGACAAGGTGAACAGGTGTTGGAATAATGGACTCAGCATGTTGGCTCTGAGTGCTGCCCCCATTAGAGCTCAATTTTTATTCTCTAATTCACGCACGTTGCAATGGCAACCCTCACAAGACTCACAAAGCAATAGCCATTCTTATCAACTTTTCCTATTTGAGTTTACTGACTTTCTCCTATTTATAGCAGCCCAAGGACATGCTAGGGAAGTTGACCATTCCAGGCAGTTCCCCAAATTTAGAAGCTGGTGTAATGGCATTCATCGATCTAGGGTGGTGATTTATACATTTACATAATAGATTTCTTTAGGGTTTGAGAAGTTTCTTTCTATTATGTGATGTGAGTTGTACCATGTAGGATTCTAATACATGTTATTATGTATTTTATTTCAAATTTAGATGTTTAATAATTCCAAAGATCTATTAATTTTACATTACCAGATCACCCTGCAAGGAATTTGAGAAAGGTTAACTTTATTCAAATTTTTAGTGGACCCATCACATGGGTAATGTTCTATCCATTGGTCTTAACTTTTGAGCTATCCAGACTCAAATCCAGATATTTTTCATACAATCACTTATTCTACCAATGCTGACTATTTCATAAGTTATGTTCCTTTTGTATCACATTTTCCTAAATATTCATGTAAAGAAAAAGAACTTACTTTGATCTATTAAAAATCACAAAGGTCTTATCTATCGGCCTTTGATCCATTCCTACATAAACTCAATTTGGGGCATGCAACAGTATCTGGCCCGGAGAGAGGAACTGCAAGTTCCATAAATCAAATAAACACGTCAAGCGTCTTTATCAACTAGGTTCTCCTGGTTTAGCAGATCCTGTGTAGTAAAAAAAGGAATGGATTTAGAGCTCTTATCTGTTAATACAGAACTTGAATTTTGATTCAATTCAATAATTCTGAATGCCTTCCAAGTGCAAGATAATAATCACCAAATTTTTGGACTACAGATCAGGCACTTCTAAGCACATTAGTTCATTTAATCGTTACCACAACATTCAGAAGTCAGTAATTATCCGAGTTGTACTGATAGCAAACCGAGGTGCTGAGAGACTCAGCGGCTTCCTCCACATCACATCCTAATACATAGCAGAGTTGAGGTTCAACCTGAGCTGATACTTAACTCTTACATTTGACACGTAACCACACATGTATGTACACGTATGTATTTGTATAGACATATGTGTGTAGATATAAATGTGAACACATAAACATATGTATATATTCACAAACATTCGTTTAGGGGTATGGAAAGGTGGATCAGGTAACATCTGAAGGAGGTAAGACTACATATAATAAACGACCTCAGTATGATAATAGTAGCACTTAAAAGAGTCCTCCCACCATAGAACAAGCGCATGTGACAAAATTTCAACTATGTAAGTAGTTAAAAGACAAACACAGGACGAGGACCCATCCTTTGGACCCCTATTGCAATAAGGAAGGGAGAAATTCTACAATAATAAGTCTTGCTTGTGAGCGGGAAGCATTTGATGACC